CTGACTTGACGTTGGTGTTGAAAATCCGGATCTTGTTCACACTTTATGCTAAGTGCAGACCTCCACACTGGTTTCATGTTAATGAACGCGTCTTGCTTTTCCGATCCTGGCTGCCTTTGACGTCCTCGTCTGTGCCTGTTCCACCTGTAGTTGAAACGATGCTGCCTAGCTTGGTAGGTGAAAGAGGCTACTTCCTTTAAGTTCTTCCCGTTGATGGTGATTGGAGCTTGTTGTTGGTGGAGTTGGTTAGGTATCATCACCCATGTCTTCTCTACGTTCACTTGAAGTCCCGTCTTCGCTGCATCGCCTCTTCTGTCAACTTGTTGGATTTTGCCTGTAGATCTCCAAGTTTGTGTGACATTAGACATAGGTCATCAGCGAAATCCAAATCTTCTAGGCTTTTTTCCCCGGTCAAACAGCGTATCCTCCTCCTCTCGCTCCTCACAGTTGTCTGCTGCATGATCCAGTCAACGACAATCAGGAATTAAAATTTTCAAACCTAATTTATGAATTCAGATGTTTATCCGTTCCCTTTTCCTCCAATGGCCTTCGATTTAAACCCAGATACAATTACAATTAATTCCTTCCTGGTCACCTTTAGTTTCATAACTGATTACGAATTTTAACACTTTATTATCTAATCACTATGCGAAAATGATTTTATTACCCTAAGCCCACGCACACACACACCTACAAGGATTGTCTGCTGACAATAATATAAACTTTCCGAGACTTTTCTTTGGTAATTATCGCCTTTATTATTTGTCCTTTGGATTCCTAGTGGAACATAGGGATAAGTAACACGTCGCCATTTCACTCTCTTATCTGCAGTCTTTTCAACCTGACTCCACGACTGCTCACAAGCTTTCATTTCTTCCTCACATAATCTCCTCCATGTCACTATCAGACGCCCGACTCGTCGTTTCCCCTTTGGGTTCCACTTAACGGACTGGCCTGGCCGGACGCGTGATATCCCTAAACTGTCTTCTTAGTGTATGTTCAATCCATCTCCACTTTCCTCTACTGCATATTTTATGGGCGATAGGTTCGCCTTTATTAACATCTTCCAATTCATAAACCCCAATTAATTTAATCATGTTGGTAGGAAATGACTATGCTGAATAATTTGTAACTGTAAAGCCTGATGAGAATTTACCGAAAGAACGTATTTTATTATTGGAAAAAGATGTGGTTATACATTAAAGAAAGAGGATGCTGAACAGAAGGAAGTTATTAACTATGACTGATCTGCGCAGAAGCTACTACTCCTGACATAATCACTCACATTGCAAGGATACCACTCAGTCGAGCTGTTGTTAGTCACTAACTGTCATGTAACGTCAGGGTAAGTGGAAATGTAGTTAAACGATTGATCTCCTAAAATATTTCCAAAGATTTTGAACTCAACCTGGTAAAGCTCTATGTATAGGGCTAATAATTACATGGTACAAGCAGATTTAGTGAAACTGGAATGTGGTCTAGTTGCGCAATATGTAATTAAGTCACACCAAGGAAAAACACCTTCCTAACCAGTCCAAAAATATCAAAATGCGTTCAGCAACCATATACACTGTCGTGTAGCAGGTGATGTACCACACTAATTGTGTGAGACCTAACGATACTACTTCGTTGCCCAGACTTCAGTAAATGAGATAGGGTTCGAACCCGTACCCTATAAGTTGAAAATCATGACTAGATAAATGAATCACAAAGCCATCATAGAGTGCTTTCTTAGTTACTGAGTGGAATCTCGTCTTATTTTGCTTGAGAAATCTATGTATTATTAAAAAGCAGTTTAAACATCATGATGACTTTTTATGAACTAACTACCTGTCAATTCGATATATAAAACTATGAATAGAAAAACAACCATAAAACCGGTAACATACGGAGGATTCATACACTGGTCGACTAACCATTTTCGATATCTTTTGGAGCACAAGAATATTGATTAGGACTCGAGAATTCCCAGATTTCTTGACTTGAAAGATGTAATCGACTAGGTCCATAGAGAGGTATGCTAGAAGTGTCTGAGTGTTGTGTGATCCTTGAAAAAAAACTAACTTATAATGTGCATATATTTTCATTTTGAAATTCAAACCTTTCTTCGCGCCTTTTTTACTCCATACAATGTCATTTATTTTCACCGCTGTTTAAAATACTAAACGCTGATTGGTTCGTTTTAAGCTTTTAATATGCTATTTCGTTTTCCCTGGTTAAGGCTCTTAAAAAGGTATGCGAGGAAACTGAGCTTCCAGGTATAAACGAACTTTTCGGTTGAAGTAAATATAATTTTCATCCCATTGTCTTCATCTTCTGGTATCACCTGAGTATCGTGTTGAGAAATCACTGTTCTGCCGCTAAGCGTATCCCATCGGAACATTATATTGTCCATATATATATCAAAATAAAACAGAAGTACCAAAAAGCATGGTGCTCAAAATTACACAACAGTTTAAGGGTCCCCGGAGAATTTGTATTCAAGGTAATGACAAACGGTAGTGTCTGCGAAAAATATCCACTTTTACTGTTCTCATTCAATTTTGTTATAGATGTGCTGATGAATATGACCCTACGCAGCTCCAACATGTTACGGATTGAACTAGTACCCGGAGACCACCTGGTCGACTTACAGTATGAAGACGATATAGCCTGGTTAAGGCAGTTTTCCGAATGCTTCAATTGACATTCGAAGTATGTTTGGTATGCATTTCTTATCTACCAAATGTAAGGTGATCCTTAGGTATGGTTAGTAATGATACAGCCCTGAAAGGTCAGCTGATGACGGAACACCGACTTGGGTTCGGAAAATCAATGCGGCATCTGGCTACAAATGACACAGGATTTGAAATATGTCCATTCAAACAATATGTAGAAAGATACAAATGTATCTCCATAGTATAATTCATAATTGGGCACAACTAGAGAGTGACTTCGATACTCAGCGTAGAGTGAGGAAGGCAAGTCAATCAATGAGGTTGTGAACCTTCACTGACTAATGTACACCTTGAACGTAGGTTACATACGTTGACTCATAGCATACTGTCTAACACCAGGCTTCTTGCTACCAGTGGCTCGGATGAACTGAAAAAGCTCCTGACTATTCTCAGACGCACTTGCTGCTCACATCTCACTCGCGCGTTCTCACCACCAAGCCTCACGGTCCTTCCGTGTTATGTAACCTTTCGTGTAAGAGACGCAAACTACTGTACCCAATATCCGCTGGAACCGTCCAACGGGCATCAAGAAGTTGCAAAGAGCTCGCACAGACCCAGTGTTTATTAGTGAGACGTTCTTCCAAGCTTCAAGCGACTTTACTCGCCATTTTCATGGGGTCCTGCAAGTGCAGTCAATGCTCGTCTACACTTTCTGGAAGATCGGTAACTAGCCTTGAATCGAACTCGGATTCGTATGTAGCTCCAATACTAGGTGCAACTAATTTGCTCGCAACGACTTATTTAAGACGACAGTTTTGATGATCACCAAAAAGTAAACCATACTTAAGCATGACCAGAGTCCAGATAAGTACTCTATGCAGAGCGGTAGTCTTGTATGCACCCCTGCTATCGGTAGCTGATTGCAATATGATCTGTTCGAGTCTATGCTTGAGTGGCAAGGGAGGACTCCAAGTAGCACAACGGAGAAGGCTTTTGAGAGTTAGCGCTGGTAAGAAATAAGTTACGATCTGCACAAAGCTGTAGATGATCCCCATTATCCGACCAGCGGCCAAATAGTCCTCACTGGCCACCTAAATGATGCTTCTCTGAGCCTAGACCCCCGAACTAGGCACTCAAGTACCCAGCTAACACTACGATATCTGTCGAGCAAATTTGGTTGAAAAGGTCACTCAATAGATGACATGACTCATCCCGGTTGCATCCAGGCTGAAATCCGTCGGACCATAGGCATTGATGACAAAAAGACATCGTTTCTCTTGACATTACTGCTTACTCGAAATGCAGCTTCAAGCTTAACGGCATATAGATGACTGTTGACAGGGGTCCAGCCGAGTAGTGTAGCTTCCGCTCTAGCGCTTACTGCGACGCCCGCTGCCGATGCCACAGGGTCCCCGGATAGGCATATATGAAACATACTTTCCGAGCTGACAGATGGGCAACCTATTCAAAGCACTTCACTTAGATCTTGTATGCAGGTCTCTGATAAGCACCATACATCAATAGCGCGGCTAACCAGAGTCCTAGCGAAACCTGTGCGTTGTCTGATCTGTATCAAGAAGCGAACGTTCAAGGTGGCACGCATGGTTTTAGGACAGCTGTGTTATAAACCACACTGGACGACAGACAGCTTTGTGGGGGCAACCGTTTAGCGACTCACAAACGGTACAGACAGACAAGAAGTCTGAGCAATGGGGAGCCGCTGGATGAAGTGAAGATAAAGACAAAAGTGAAAATGGTAATCATAAAAAAATATAGTTCATATGTAAAAACATCAAAAAAACAACAATAAACTGAACAACTGTTTATAGACTTCACGGTGCGAAAGGCTTGAATATTTCCCGAAAAGTTGGGTAAGTGCTTCAAAATCCTCATTGCATATTGTAACTTCACATTTCATATGAGGGCTGAGATAATGCGTGGACGCACAAACCGAAGCAAGTAATTGTTGCAGGGGACCACTCCCAGAGCCTTTGACGTAGTCGAATCTATAAGGCAGCGGAACAACATTAGGAGCTGCACTCTCATGGGTGGCAGTTGCCAAAATAAGTTCATATTCTGGGACGTACAGCCCATGAGCATCACGGGTTTTTCAGCTCTCCTTAGGTACCTAAGTACCTACTAATTCAGGGAAAAGCACCAGACATTCGCTTTCGCCTTTTCACTTCTGTGGAAAACACCCCCACCACGTGAGGTGGAATCGATAGATCAACAAACTGTTACTTCTAAACTGTTCAACCTTTAGACAACTTGGATCGATGCAACGTTTACAAATTTCAGATGACTAATAAAGGATAACCAATTTAGTCAATTACAATACACTTATAATAGATGGGCTAAGTATATAATTTTATTTTTTTAGAAAAAAGAAACAACAATTATTAACACTGGTATAGTGAACATGGAAAATAAGTCAGGATGAAATCTGTTTCCTTCGCTTTTCTCCATCACATCATACTGATTAGGCAACGTCAATTAATTCTTGTGGTAATGGATTTTTCGGATGTTTATTCTCAAAATGTTGTTTATACGTCTTCAAATCAGGTACCTGTGTTTTACAAACAGGACATGTGTAAATAAGTGCCTTAGCAGCAGACTTTTTTTGATCAATACCAGATTTCTTTAACTCCGCCTGCTTTTTGGCATTCTTTTGTTGACTTTGAATCTTTTGCTGACCACGAGCCATCTTCTAAATCTGACAGGATTAGAAAAATAGTAAAAATGAAGTGAAAAACAAACGAACAACGACAGCTGCTACCTTGATGTGATGGTTGAGCTTGTATATCATAATGACCCAATGAGCTAAACTGGCTAGAACGCTGGTACCTTAAAATTCTACCATGCTAGAAAGGTATGTTGGATAGTGAAAACCAGGTACCGTTGTAGTGTAATTCTCTATGTTATGATACGATTTCGAGGATGAAGTCGTGCTATGGCTGGACAGTGTGAAAACAGTCAGGTACTTTCACCAACTGATCAACCTCACCATGCTGATGCTTTCATCATTATGGGAAGGGGACAGAGTTAGAAAAAGAGCCGCAAAAGTACCTTGCGCTCTCGTCTTCCGGTGCTGAAGGGCTTTACCCATTCGGCGTTGAAATAACCAAACCTGAAACCAACAATTCCCAAAAGGTCGTGTGACAGGCCTCAGGTAAATGTCACAAAGACTCTGGAATCAAATAAATTCTTCCCTCTTCCCTTTCAGACACCCTGCAGAAACAACTTCCACATTGTAGGTAGCCGGGATGCACCAACTGCCTACACGCTTCCAGTAGTACAGAAAATCCAATTAAATGTAACCTACCATCCTTGACCTTAGCCACCTGATACCAAAATTAAATCACTGGCAACTTTCACCACTCATTCTGCGTTCTTTGCCAAAGATATACGGCACCGAAATTTCGTTCCTAGTCTCCTAATACCCCAGCGTCAGTTAAACATAAGATCTTTCAATATCCGAACTTTCTGAGGAGTCGGACAGGAGTCATTCTACAGAACTCTGAAATTTCACGCGGATGTATGCTGAGTATCTAAGATACGCATACAGCACCCAAGTGTGAATATTCACTTGACCCCAGCAGGTCAGTGAGGTGAACTTTCGAAGGCTCATGCATCGAACGAAATTACTTTAGTACTGATCATGAGATGATTCCCGGTACGAAACTACAGATATTGCCATAGCAACTTGGAACACAACTAAAAACTACTCCAAGGTGTCGACCACGGGGTATGACCAGATCCTAATAGATGGCGACTCAGCCTAGAACAAGATGGCGCGACCCCGAGTCGGAAGTTCGATTGTGACCTGCTACATGACATCCAAATGGCTGGACTGCACGAAAAAATTAGCGACAACACCCGCTGGGGATCAGATGCCAAACCATCTAAACCGGATTGTCTACTGACCAGTGATCACCCTCTGGTCTAAAACGTTCAGTTACAAACTGTTCGTTGAAGTAGCGATCACGCCATGTTAGTGTTCAACCTGGTAATCAGTGAACAATTATCTTGGGAGGGACCTCGCCCTTACCTCTGTTACAGCAGGGTAAACTACGAAGGTATGAACAAAAACCTATCAAGAGCCCCTTGGCCAGTGGTTAAGTGTTCTTTATCGGTTGACCAACACTGGGAGCTGGTAAGGGACATCATGAAGGCGGTCAACTTGCAAAATGTCCCCTTGGTGGTAACAACACCCAGAAAGCGGACCTCATGGCAAAATGAAGCACTGAGCGCCTCCTTAAAACCAAGAGAAAGGCATGGCACACAATGAGATTCTCCAGAGAACAGGCTGACCATGACGCATATATGGCTCTACGGAATCAAAGCAACATCAGGCTGCGGTGAGACAGATCGTTCCAGTCCAACCTCGCCAAGAGTCTTGAAGTAAACTCCAAAAACCTATACCGATTCATGGCAAAGTGAAAATCAACAAGCCAAGGAGAATGCGTCATAAAAGGTCCGAACGGAGATAACCTCTCTGAACAAGAGATCGCCGAAATGTTGAACACCACATTCAACACACAGCTTAACATTCCGTCAGGAAAGTGCGCATACCAGCTGCCCAAACAGCCCTAACGTTACTCGAAGCTGCGGAGTTACACGAAATACAGATAACTTGTGCTGTTGTTCTCTACAAGCTATCAAAGCTAAGCGAGGGAAAATCCCCACGGTGCGACGACATCCACCCATCTGTGTTGAAAGAATGTGCAAGTACCCCAAGTGGCCCACTCTGTGACCTCTCCCAACACTCCTTGGATGAGCAAAAGCTCCCACGAGAGTGGAAACGGGCTATCCTTTCTCCATCTTCAAATGAGCAGGCAGGCAGAATCCAAACTGTTATAGACCCATAGCACTTCTACCCATAATGTCAAAAGTTATCGAAAGTGCGATAGACGACCGTGTCAGGGAATATCTGGACACGAAGCAAGCACTCAGTGACGCTCAATATGGCTTCCGAAAGGGTAGGTCCTGTGCCTCCAACCTCCTGACAGCCCATGATCACTGGACAGAATGCTGGGATCTCAGGGTCCCGGTCCACGTGATTTTTTGGATTTCGCCGAAGCCGTTGACACTGTCTCACACACCATCCTAATGCACAAAATAGCTGGGTTAGGTATCCGCGGCCGGGTGCTATCGTGGTTGCAGAACTACTTAGACAGTAGGGAGTTCTGCACGAAAGTCAACAGGGTCCACTCAACTTGGAGAACATCCTCATCCGGTGTCTCACAAGGGGTAATCCTCGGTCCACTGTTATTCCTACTGTTCGTGAGTGACCTACCACAACACATCACCTCTCCTATTCTCCCATACGCTGGTGACGTCAGGTTATGGAGGGTGGTAACTTGCGAAGCGAAATCGAAAGCATTACAGAACGACCTCAAAACACTAGAGGAGCAGGCAACAAATAATGAACTGGCATTTAACCTGGATAAGTGCCTGTCCATGTTTTTCTGCACTCCTGATCCCCAGAAAGTATCCTACTCTCCTTGTGGTTCACGTCTATCCCATACCACAGTACAAAGAGACCTGGGTTTAACGGTGACGGAGAAACTGGATACCAGTTCCAATTACCCAGGTGATGCCTCAAAAGCATACGGTGTACTACACTTTGTGCGCAGACAATTAGGTGTCCTCACCACAGAGCTCTTTCTGAAGCTCTACAAGACTTACATACGACCTCACTTGGAGGTTCATAATGTCTTCGCCATACCACAACTCAAGAAAGGCACGAACCTACTGGAGAGAGTTCAAAGGCGAGCCATAAAATGGGTTGTTGGGATACAACGAAAACCATATGAGGGTAGACTGAAAGATCTAGGCCTATACTGTCCTAGGTACCGAAGGTTACGTGATGACTTCATAATGGCTTACAAAATACTGAACAACCCAAGTCACCCGAACAAAGGATTACTACCGAGTGGCCACTATGGTGATCCTCGTGGAAACTCTACTAAAGGTCAAAAACTCATGTGCGTTCACACTTCTCCCTCCGAGTCCGCGGGCACTGGAATGCAGAAGCAGTCTCCACTCCATATGTTGAAAGCTTCAAGAAAAGGCTAGACACTCATGCAGAGACCCATGGTCTACCCACATGTAGCTGGAATACGAACTAAGCGGAAGAAATCTACTGCTGTCACACCACCCCAACTATTTCGCCTCTACAACCACTTTTATTTCTACTGTAGCCATTTAAGCCCTATTCATCGCTTCACCCTTGTATGAGTGAGCCTTACGTACCTAAGTTCTTCATACCTTCGCACCCCTTTTCGCCTAACTCGGGTGTACGTAAATTACTCTATTAGTCCACTATTATTTTCCCTTTGACCCACACAAATCTCGCTTTCTAGGTTTTCTCTTCAATATCCCTAACCCTCTCTAACGACCAGTCCGAACAACTGTCTGGCAACTCGACATATGAAGAAGCCAACTGCACCACAGTCCAAGGTAAACAAACCAACACTCAACCTCTTGTTCTGTATGCCAGAGCCATAGCAGATGAGTGACTGGATCTACTACACTGGAGTCTACCAAAGACCTGGAACCGTTTCGGAAGACTAAGATGGGAGCAAGAAATCAACTGGTTTACACAAGCTCGTTAAAAAGATATTGGATGAACCCATAGCTTCAAGGTAATCACGTTATACACATCTCCTTGCACGGGGTTCTAGTGACAGCACTTCTGCAAACCCTTCCAATTCGTGGTGGATTAATTGGAATTTCAATTAACCCACCAATACAAAACTTGAAGATATCCATTGGCATATAAACGAAGCAAAAACATTGGTCACAGATCCCTCAAACTGTTTCAGAATTTATGCAGACATCTTCATTGTAATCAAGAAAAACAACATTAAGTTAAGAACTGCATATTCACACAATCAGCCATGCATGGCTGACATGTCGATACAGATGTGCAGTAAGTTCCGTAAAGAGAAACTTAGTATATGTGGGTCAATAGAAAGAAGTAGCACGAACTTCTGTACATAATGAGGCTGAAATGATGACTGAATTGGTTTCAGTCATTCATTGTTGACAGCCAACATATATATTGTGAGTTGTAAAACTGGTAATTTTCTCACTTTCGTGCCTAGATCAGAAAATTACAACAGACATCTTTAGACAGAGATGCATATAGATGCTCCACCGACACTGAATACATAAGCCGAGGTAAGTTTAGGATCAAAAATGATAAAATCATGAAGAAAAACTTGACCACCAAGCACACTGGAGCTGTACAGCTGACCTTCAGGTTAGCGATTTACCGCCTTGTGAACATTTCACTTTCGGTTCTACGCATAGCTTTGAATAGTTACCTACGATATAGGGGCTTTATTTGACTGTCTGCAAACCCAGGTGCGCAAAATGAATAGTAGAAACAGAATAATCGAAGAGTCTACACTGTAGATGTCCACTGAAGTTGCACATGTGTGCGCAATCTGAAGCCGTGAAGACACAATCAAACAATGTCATATGGTATCCATATCTGTATTTAGCATGTAATCGTTAGTAGCGTTGTGGATTTCTGGTTTTTATGTAGCAGCGAGAGAGCGATAGTTATTTAACCGTCCACATGCGCGCGTGCTGTGAAAACAGGAAGTGAACTTTTCCACACTTTTGACACCTTTGCTTTTGTCGTCTAATAAGCACCAAAGACTTTCTTGTAAACCTTGACTTGAATTGCTTGAGTCAGTGTTTGAAGTTTAATCATTTTTTGAGGCTTAATGTTGGTCTTTGTGTCGTCACAACTCCTTTCGTCGAAATTTTGGCCGAATACTTCAATTGGTGCACGGTACTAATGAACAACATGGTTAGCGATAATCATGTTTGCTGTCATCCTAGCTATAGATTTCCAGTGGATGAAGGTATGCAATGTGATGCATATGGATATTGGTTCCACAAAGTTTTTACCGGACTGATACCAACCATGTGCAAACGTTGCAGCCAACCAGCTTCTCCCTGGTTGTGTGATTTCTGCTGCAAGTCGTTGTCGGCCCTAATCCAGGAAGCTGTTAAAATGTTACTCGTCAAAAACCAGCTATGTGGAAATGAGAACTATCACTCTAACGCGGCATCAGATGATGACTGTGCAAGTGTTATCGTTAATACACGTGACGTAGGGTCTCTAAATGGACTGATGGATGCTAGTGATCCAATAGGTGAAATTACACCATTTACGAAGCGTACTCAACACAAGAGAAAACCAGGGCCAAATGGTACGCCAACTATAATGCTGAAGATTCACCAAAAGCCCCCGTCTCTGGTAATGGCGTTGACTCTATAAAACTGGTCAACGAATCTACATGGATTTCTCCAAGAAAGCATTCGAACAGACCACCGAAGGTTATCGCTGAAGGCACTAAGCTTATGAAACTTATTGAAGAGGTTTCGAAGGCTGCCAACACACGACTTAAGGATTCCATTCCAACGCCCAGTGTAATCTTCTGGAATGTTGACGAGTCATCAGACAAAGATGCTTCAATACATCACGGCCGTGACCTAAAACCAGCTGAGTCGCCCAACAGACGTATTCTACCCGAAAAGTCTAGACGGGTACATATCTTCAAAGTATTTAGGCCAGGTGAGAAAACGGAAGGAAAACCTGATGAAAAGAGGGTTTTAAGGGTTGTTTAAGCCTAGGAGGATGAAGTGCATGTACTCTTGAGTAGCGCACCCAGACTACAAAATTTGGATACCTCCATCCGACCTGACTGGCTTCCAAGACCTGTATGGGTGGGTCATGGAACTCTTCAAACGCAGTGAAAGCAATCTACACTAACGTTCGCAGTATTGAAAGTAAAATAACAGACCTCGAGACTCTGATTTGTGAACTAGATCCTGACATAATAGCCCTTGCTGAAACTTGGCTAACACAGGATTTAGATTTCACTCCGTCCTCACAAGATATGACTGTGTAGGAACAGATAGGGCTGTGAGTCGCAAAGGTGGCGGCATACCACCCTGTGTTCATGGTGATGTCCACATACGATCAGTTACGTCCGAGCCACATGAATGCAGGACCTGCGAAGTGGCCAGTTGCGAGCTGAAGTCAAGGCAGGGTTTCTGTACTATCGAAGTCATTTACCGTAGTCCATCCTGCCTTGCAAATGACTTCGTGATAACCCATATACGTGACTGAAGTAGAAGCAACAGGTGCCTGACCGTTGGGGGTCTGAATTTTCCACGCATAAACTGGACTGAGCTAATATTTTCAGTATTGTGCAGTTTCTTTGAAAATGATTTACTTTTAACGGCACTTGAATCTGATTCAGTTCAAAACGTAACTTGTGCAACATGATACGATTCTGAACACGAGCCATCGTTATTAGATTTGATTTCAACCCACCAATGTGAGGACATTTTGGACCTACGATGCTTCCCAAAATCAACCAACAGCGCCCATGCAGTGATGGCCTTCGGTATTCGGACAAATGAGTGTGGTTATGATGCTGCTTCCCCTATACCTAGTGTTTGGCGTGCAGACATTTCAAGTGAAAGTGATTGCGTAGTCAGTAAGGATCGGACCGTCGACAAGGACTCACGAACTGAAAATGCATGGAATGGGTTTAGAACTCAATTTGAAAAGGTACTAACAATAATTGATTCCTGGATTTATGGGTGCGTATCATTTTTACGGATACGATTACAACAATTAGTGGCGGAAAATCTCTGGTAATATTTTTTTATAAAAAATTTTTATCACCTCGTTTTCATCCCGCGTAGTGGAAATCCCCAGTCTGAAAGAAAGAAAACCTCATACCACGTACAACTGGTGCACTCTAATTTGAATTCAGAATTTATGTTATGCCTTTGTGTTACCTGGAAGAAATGAAAGTCGTGTCTGATGAATATGCAAAATCATCACTCAAAAAGAAGTGGAAGTGACTCAACAATTTCTTTCCCCAGAAAAAAGTAATGCCGGCTAAATTACTCAAGTGCTTTAACTTGAAGGATCATGTATTGAGAGAAGTACCACGGCAGATTCAATGAATTTTTCAGAGGATATGGACCTCCAGGTTCATTGGAAAGTCAAGATATCCTGTATAGACAGTAATAAATAATGTTGATAATAGTATGTCACCTTTCTAATGAAACGATCTATTTTTGCTTATTCGTACTAATTTCCACATGTGTCTACGGCAGCTGCCATCGTGCTCTGCACTAGCAAGGTGAATATATTTGCCCAATTCCTTCGGGTCTCGAGGTCAAGTAGAAGAATCTGCTTCTGCAGGTGAAGTTGTATTTTTCTGCATCTTTTTTGCTGTTTACAGCTACAGTGGACGAAATGGACGACGTTGTATATTCCATGTTCGACCCCACGACTGCCCTCACACCGCCCTTCATGGATTAAAAAAGACATTGGGAAAATATTAAGGTGGAGGAAATTTTTGTTTCACTTGCTTCTAGAAGCTGGGCTGGAAACATGCTTTCTTTTCCTTCCTCTCCTTTCAGCTTCAGTTTGAAGAGAAAACCTTGAGCATAGTTTTAACCAAAACTGTCAATCTACCGAATATACTACTTCATACTTGATACCAAAAATTGTTGGAATACTTCAACTGATCTTCCCCTATTGATTTTCAACTTTCTGAAATGTTCCAAAGCAAACTCGCCCAAATACCAACATCCTAGATGCTTCCATGTACGAAAACCCAACTACGACAGATGATCTAAGACTTCCGAGCGGTCATAATAGCAGCTATAATCTGGACAAACAACCAAGTCTCAGAAATAAACTCACCTAGTGACTCAAATTGAGACATGTTCGCAAACAAACTTCTCCACTACTTCACTTCATTTGACTTCGTTTTACAGAAGGCAATTAATGGTCAACATACCTCCTTGATAATGGTGTATGCTTCAATGCGGATTCTGTGTGCAAAACTCCATCACTATTGGATAATAGTCCTTCAAATGTTTATTTCTTCGTGCAGCAACAACTAATTCTGATGGATTACATCCGTATTGCTGAGTAAGGTCACACTACGAGTGGAAAGTGTGAGGACTAATACACTCACGTAGATTATATAGTCATGCTAACACTTACTGTTACCTAGAATAGATGAAATGAATTTCGGTCGGCCAACGATGCTATAAACATGTTGACTGATGTCAAAATAAACACTTATCTAGTGAAACATGGAACTATACTGCCAGGCTGACCATCTTGGTCACATGTAACGCAAACATCGAATATCGTACGATTTTGGTACCACCTTATTGTGTAAAAAGAATGGTGGGTGGAGACAACTGAAACTCACAAACAATCTGAATGTATTGTGAAGTGATATTTTTCTGTTCTTCTCATAGCCTGTAGTCATTTTTTATCATGATAAACCCTGATGCGATACCTTCCGTAACATTCAGGACAGCTCAACTACCGTTGTCAATTTGATGATGCCTGTTAACTGGCCTCTCTCGTGTTAAACTCTTGCTTTGAGAATAAACTATTTATTTATTATTATTTATTAAGGACTGGGCATTGTAGTGTCCGTAATCTCTGCAAAACGTTGATTGCACAGCCTCGGATGTCCTACGGGAAACAGCTTGTGAGGGATTGCAAAACTGTCCAGAAGACTGTTCACATTCGTCAGAAGGAGAACCAAAAGAAAATGTTGGATTCACTCTCTGGCGACGGATGAGAAGTCTGATAGTCTGGAGGGATCTAATCTGTTCAAGGCTGAATATCTATCCGATTACTTTAGTGAAGTCTACTCTGTAGATCATGACAACGGACTGCTAAGTAGTGGTGTCGGCACTGTTCCATTAATGGACACTGTTTTCACAACAAAGGAGAGTCTTACAGTTACTCATTAATCATAATCCCGGAAAATCCCCGGGTCCCGATGAGTTACATGCCAAACTTCTATCTTCGCTAGCAGACATCATTGCTGAGCCAGTCACAGATCTTTTCAATTTGCCCCTAACTCAGGCTTGCCCCCTAGAGACTGGAAAGATGCCACAACTAGCCCGGTTTTTAAGGCCGGTAGTCGACATTTGGTGTCTAACTATCGCCCTGTAAGTCTAACTAGCATAGTTTCGAAGATTTTAAAAAAATAATTCGTGATATGGTACTTAAACATGTTGAATCAACCGATCCTTTAGTACTGGACACCCCTGTCTAACTGACCTCCTCATCGCAAGCGAGGAATGGGTTGCATCCCTTGATTCTAGGCTGATAATAAATGCCGTGTTTTTAGACTTCAGTAGGGCATTTGACAAAGTGTCGCATGTCAAACCGCTAGGAAAGCTCTCCTCCTTTGGGGTTTGAAGCTTTGTTGCAAGCCAGGATTTGGGACTTATTGTACAGCAGAAGGAGGGGAGTAAGGGTAAATGGGATACTTTCCCGGGCGGAAACCTGTGATGAGTGGAGTTCCTCAAGGAACAATTTTAGGTCCACCACTCTTCCTGTTATATATCAAC